GATCAAAACTTATAAATCTAATAAGATAAAAAACTAAAAGTAAGTTTTTACCAAATCTGTCTCCTTAAAACTGCCATGTCGGTTGCCCTCTCTTTTCCTTCCCACTTGGTAGTCTATTCGTTTTTACCAAATCTTTTTGACACGTGACAGATGAAATGGCGTGCCACTTGCTTTGCTCAAAACAAGAAAGATTTCTCCGACGACCCTCTCTTCTTTCCAAGCGTGGAACTCAGTTTGTGAGTTGATGGAAGAATGTCATAAACTACGCCTTAAAGATCAGACGATTGGCAGAAACGAGGGATGAACTTCCTGCACTAAATGGGTTATATGGCAAAATGCGTTGGATATGATTCCGATGACTCCTCGAAGTTAATGTAATCAAGAAAAGTTAAGACTGCAAGAAAATAAATGATCGCTAAACTACTGAAAATCTAAATGAACTTTAAATACACAAACTGGGTTGAAACAAAGCTTTAAAAGGAAATTTAATTGTAGCAAAAGTAAATTAAGTTAAAGTAAATAAAACCGAAAACAAGGAAAATCTACTGGTAGCAAGAAATATAAATTAACAGAAATAGAATTGAATATGAAATTAAATGTCGACATCATTTGATTTAATTAAAGGAAACTTGGAAAATAGAAAAGGAAAAGAAGCAATCCGATCACAAAGAAATACTACTGAAGGCAATGAAAACTCACCATTACAAATTCAACAAAAAAAGAGCTGAATTACTAAACTAATTTAGGTTGAAGCGTAGAGTTGGAATTAAATTAAAAGGCTTGAAACTAAGATGAATCTGAGCATAAAGAGAAATTGTGCTGAGTTTGTTGTGTCAGATGGCGATCCTTTGCTTGATGTTATCATTAGGTATTTATAACACCTTGGTAGCATGGTGGAGATCTACGATAGCATCTTGAAAAACTAACAGCAGCGTGATATCTACAACGAATCGATTAATTTGTTAATGTTGCAATTATCCTCCTAAAAGCTCCCAACAAGAGAATGGTTTTGCTATCGTTGTGGAAATAACCACTCAATCTTATCTAAAAAGATTTACACCAACTGTCAACTAATAAAATATCTACCAATATGGGTGACATGTGACAACACTCTGTTTGTTGTAAAATTAGGTGTAAACACTGCCCCCCAATTTTTGGCCTTACGGGAATAGGTGTCAAAATTTAGAACCTTAGTGATAGTACTCAACTTCTTTGTGCCCTTGTCCTCTTTTGTAAGGCCCAAATTGCTTCAAGGGCTTCCTTCCTTTTCACCATTTTACTTTTACTGTTTACAATTTCATTTCCGTTTTGGAATCGGAAACGTGGCAAATTGCAACTTTTG